TCAGCATAAATAAAAATCTGAAGTACTCGGTACAGCCCTCATATAAGTTATTTTCACTATCTTCTAGTAGCTTCATTATCCGCTTTATTTCTATGGAGGAATGCATATCTTCAATATTTTCCGCACATTCAACACCTCCAACCTCTTCAGCATAAACTTCGATATCATCTTCACTTTTATCTTTGATATCATCCTCGACATTATCATCGACATCATATTCGGTAGGACGAGAAAAAATATTATTCAACATTGTTTCTGTGTCATCTATCTGTAAGCCACTAGATGTACTACCATGCATATTCGGATCCTCATCTTCAGTGCAACCTTCCCCATGATATGACCAATATTTATATTTTTCATCAAAACTTGATTTCATTAGGTGGATCCGTATACCATTTCTATTCCGCAGCTTCATATTCCTATACCTACAACAAGGACAATACATAGCACCGCTACTTAAATTTCTCGGATTCATTTCATCATAACGCATGAAGGCGTCACATCCCTCCTTATATCGCGTGTCACAAAATCTTTGAAGCTGTGGAATATCTATCCATGATTTGTCAGGAATTATCCTCATCTGTACATTATATATAATTATTAACTATGATTAATCTCACAACTACTAGTACATTCATGACTCTTTGTGACAATATACATACAATACACATCATACATACGTTCATATATCATTAAACAATATAAATATTTTTCTACATAAAATATATATCTGAAACGTACATAGAAACTAATTACACCAATCTAGCTGGTGTCATAGGAATGCTTCTATCCATTAAGAATATAATAGTACTTACATCCAACTTCGTATACTTTGTATATTTTTATTTCTTAAAAATTTTGGCAGCACCTACCCGCTGTTCTTCCTATACACTATGTGGATGTTATTATGTGTATCGGCAATAGCCTGAAACGTAGAACAACATACGCTTATTGTACACGGAGAACAACAAATACGTGCTGTCGAAACTTTCAAGAATGAAAATATACAAAGTATAAAAAGTTGGATGTATGCATTACTATATTCCTAACCCATCCGAGAAGGACAGATCCAACAATTATGAATTTTAGTACTAATTCTTTATTCGTTTAATATAAAGTAAATGATCATTTTCGAGAGGAAACTTTATCTCCTACCCAAATATGAGTCGTCTATCTTATATTATAAGTCCAAAGAATTAGATGTAATTATTAGACAGAAGTCTAGGGATAACGTTATTTTTTTCCATTCACCTAAATTGGATATATAATATATTATTAAAAATTATAGTGTGTTAAATATCACTCTATTTAAAAAAAAGTATTTCACATATTTTCACATCACAAACTTATATAATCACACCTATTTATAGCACAAACGGAACTTAGTATGATGGACTATCATGAATCGGGTGTTTTTTAGATCATATTTTTTTAAAACTAATTTAGCAATAAACAATATAAAATTTAGAAATTTCTAATTTTTTTTTGAAAATCATACCTTTTAAAGAGATGAGAGGCAGCGGTCGCGGTCGGGCTGAAGAATAGGCTGCGGGAACAGCACCCGAGAAAGCTAGGGTTTTAAGTTTTTTTTAATTGAGGGGA